TGTTACTTTAAAATTTTAAAATCCTTGATCTTTTGCCCATTGCTATCAATGGTAAAATGTACTAACAAACTAAACAAAAATGGTTGGCAGGTATCTAAGATTCACCATGCTAAGGGTATCATGTTGTGTTTTTTTTTTAGGGGGAAATGTTCTCGAGTTGTAACCCTCCCAAAGTGTTATGTGTCTTAGTGAATAAACCCATCTATAGTCACTTCATCAGCAAAAACCGCGACTTACTTACCCTCCAGTGTCATCAACTATGGCGTGCTGGAACATGCCCCGGTAATAGTTCGATGAAATTCCCAGCGAATGAAACCTCCGAATTTTTGTTGAGGATGTTCCAGCTTGCCATGTTTGATGACACCGTTGCGGGTAACGGCCTTGACACCATAGAGCTGTCATATGCGTCACCAGCTCTTTGATGCTGATGTCATTGTCAATGGTTGTTACTAGGGGAGCCACTCCAAAATCGCCCAACATGTCAGGCTTGAACACACAGACGCTATGATTTAGCCATAGTTCGAACATCTCAGGCATTACAAGATGAACATAGGGTTTATGAATGTTTATGATATATTATAATGGGGATTAATAGGGATTAGTGACTTATAGTGACAATCTGGATAAAGAAATGTTGTCAAGAACACCGGGATTCACCCTCAGTGTCATGGAGGTAACCACAGGGCTTGATGGCTTGTCATTGCTGACCTTGTTAGTTTAGTTTAATGATGTTTAATGCTAAATATAAATTGAAAGGGAATGAATTGATTTGAATGGCCAGCCTTGCACTGGCGGCTAAGAAGTAAAACTGCATCATGATTTGCTCAGAGCATTGCATGGTTTAGCATTGCATGGTTTAGGGCGGCAAACTTCAGGAACCTTTCGGTGTTTGTGTTCGGTTTTTCACTGGCCCATGTTTGGTATCTAGTTTGCACCAAACAGTTGGACTTGGAAACCCCAAAAAATGTGCTCCGGAACATGATTAGTTCGAAACAATATTCGCCAATGTGTTTCTTTTGTTCGATGCAGTTTCTCATTCGAACGCTTCAGGAAGCCTCTTTTTCCGCTCTGCCGCCCCTCCGTCTAAGGGCTTGCGGGCTTCAGGGCTTGGTTTCATGGGCGAATGTTTAGCCAGTTTGATGGAACCAAAAAACATCACATCCTGCTAGAAAAAGAACATCACCATGCATTTTTTTGTTGGCAAGATTCGCCGTGAAGGCCAGTCTTCCAGTCCTTTCTTGGTTCCTAACAGTTTTGGGTCCCCCATGCATCTTAAGGATCCCTCTATGATTCTTCGGACAAGAAACTTGCATAGCCCATCATAGCCCCATGTACAAAGCCATTCGGGTCTGTCCAGGATAGGCGTTTGTTTTCATTCTTTAGTGTGACAGTGACATTACATTCGGATGCATGAAAAACCATGGAAAACGCTGATGATGTTCAGAGGCTGCTCTCCAAGTTTCCCATTCAGAAGCCAATGATCCAGGGAAACGTACTGGATTTCGTTCATCTTTGGACATAGAAATTCTGCTTGGTGGTTTCAAGTTTCAAACATTTTTTATTTTCCCCAAGAGTTGGGATGATGATCCAATTTGACGAACTCCATCATTTTTCAGAGGGGTAGGTATACCACCAACCAGATATTGTTGAATGTCTGTACCCTCTGGTAAACTAACATAACTATGGAAAATCACCATTTTTAATACCACCAACCAGAATTTGTGTAAGATGCCTCCCCTGGATAGTTAGAGCTGGTGATTTCAGGCATTTCTCCGACCGAAACCCGCCTCAAAAGGCATGTTTTTTTAAAGTTACCCGGCCTGGTAAACATACAAAAAGCTATTGAAAATGGCCCAGTCCAAATAGTTGATTTACCCAGCTAAGAAATGGTGATGTTCCATACTTATGTACCTCATCACCCAAAGTTGGCTGAAGAGTACAGGTTTGAAAAGATGGAGGCTTCCTAAGTCATGGGGGTCCCCCAGACCGATCCCCCGTTCCGTGCCAACGAGGAGAGACCCGGACTCTCTCGAACTTGGGGAAAACACGCGCAGGGAAACTGCCGAAGATAGTCAAATCATAGGGGTCAATCATGGAGCTATCAAGAGCTTCAAGGCTTTGACAAGATATACCCTCTGGTTATGACGAACATAGCCATGGAAAGATCCACCATTTGTAAGTTCGGTAAACCATCTATAAATGGGCCATGTCCCATGGCTATGTTAGTCATAACCAGAGGGTAACAATGATAAAAACATGCTTGTCTTAACAACCAAAGATGTGGTGAGTTAAGCATCAACAACTGCGTCCACCTTGGCCAAACGATGTCAAAGCTTGTTTTGATGCCTTGATTTCCTTGCATTCTTTTGATCTTGATATATAAACCAACCCCTGAGTAGAACAGCAAATTAGGATATATGATGATATATGATACTAAATTGATGGTATAACCCGATTAGCTTGGGTGAATAGAATCTACAGTATCTGGTTGGTGGTTTGGAACATGAATTTTATTTTTCCATATATTGGGAATGTCATCATCCCAACTGACGAACTTATATTTTTCAGAGGGGTGGGTCAACCACCAACCAGGTATATGCAACATGATTCAATCATGGTCGTTTCGTTTCGTGTGTGGTTTCAGCGGTGGCATCTTCACCCTGAGAAGTTTCGTCCAAAGATTGACCAAAGAACTGCTGTCATCAAACGTACATAGCTGACTGGGACCCGGTGGCTGAATGGAAGTTTGTTCATGGGAAAATTATGGAAAATAAAACATTGTCTAGAAATGGGTGATTCTCAGTGATGTTCAATTGCCATGTTTGATTGCCAAAGTGTAGATGAGGTCCTTAGATGTCTTTAGCGGCAGGAAATGCCACCCATGGATGCTGATGACAAGAACTTGCCATACACACGGAATGTTAAGGTTAATTGTAGACATCCTGAAGATAGAATATGGAAATGTCAAATACATTCCCATTCCAGGTCTAGTGGTGATTTTTGTTGTGACATTTCCAGATTCTATCTAATTAATGAATAAAAATAAACAATATATATTATATATAATAGATATGTAATTATATGTATATATGTACTGCGCATGAGCTCAATATTGTTTGGCATAACTATGATCCATCCAGACGACAATTGGTTTTAGGGAACATCTGCAGGAAACCCCTCCTTTTGCCCGCGCCGACGTCCACGTGTCCATGTCCGAACATCAAAAAACACTGTTTTGTGGGACAAAATGCACATGTCCACAATCATGGCTTTCATCTTGCAACGCGCAGCTTAGCAACCTGTGTGTTGAATGTTACATCATCATCATCATCATCATCATCATCATCATCTTGAAGATTACCTTGAATATGAAGTTTATCGGGGATGGGGATTCAATGATTCCCTAGAATCTCCGTTGAAACATCTTGAAGATTCCCTTCAACACCCCAGTCAATATCCCTGCGTGCAAATGTTGTGTGGGCGAAAGGGGGGAAATTGCGCGTAAGATTACTTAGAATGGCCATGGTCCGTTACCTGATCAGCAACCCCAAACAGAACTGTGTACGTAGTGGGTTACCCTCTAGTCATTTTACTATATATGCAAAATCCCAATTTGAAAGCTAAATCATCGAACTAAATGGTCCATGTTCCATGGTTTTTTTGGATGGAAGAAATCTTGCACCACCTTGGATGGTTGAAACATATTGAAACCCTATAAACAGGGGATAAGCATGGATAAACCACCTATCAAATTATCAAGTGGTGCAGGATTTCTTCCATGCACTGTATGTCAAATTTCCTATTTGGTTTTTTCAGCCAGTGGTGGCTCACAGCCGCTTCAGGAGCCGAAGTGAACGAGGCGGGACTCCCTCAACTGATATGAGAATATCCATGATTTTGTTTCTTACTTGTATAGATGAAAGAAAGGTTGTCCAGCCGTTTTTTCTTGGCAAAGTTTTTCATCTTAGTTGGGGGGATGGTTAAACGGTTATGGTCTTTTTGGGTGTCTGTTGGTTGACCCCCATGATTGATTGACATCCAGGAGATATTAGCAATCGACTGTGAGGCGCAAGGCCTTCATCAATACATGTTTTAATGGCCAGAAATAGTTGGCTCAGAACCGTCAATTTGTTTGATCCACAGTGATATGAAATGAATGTATGCTATCAATGCGTGACACTACATGTTTTGCCATGTGCCTATCACAGTCTGATATTGTAAGTTCTGACCGTGCTGGTTATACAACCTTAGGCCATAGGTGTAGGCATAAATTCCAACTTCTGTGGTTTAGTTTATGATCTTTATTGAAATTCCACTGCACCCCTACTTAGTGGTTGGTTCGTGAATGTTCCTATTATGGGTATTTATGGGTTACAATGATCTCGCTTAATCCCCATTGAGCCTGTTAGCATAAGCCCCTGTTAGCATAAGCCCCTGTTCATGGCCCACATGTGTTTTGGCTGTTTAAGATAAGTAATATACATCATATACGACATGATCATTATGGAAATGTTTTCCTAGTATATCCGATCAGAAATCCCTACCATGCGGGGCCCCCAAAACGACAGCTGATTTGGTGGAACTAACTCCAATTTCACTATGGCATATGTTATTTTTTAAATGATACTTCCAACATTTGATCGATATGGAAATGGGCCGAGTTACCAATGAAATTACCCGATATTTGGGGAATAAACATCCATTAACCACAATGTGGCCCCCCCTTAGATAGCTAAGTTGGTGAGCATAACTCCAATAACTATGGTTTATGATACGCACAAATAACTACATTTCATAGGGTTTTTAAACCAACATTCACATCACTGGGGGGCCCCACATTGTACCCATTGCATTCCAATGTTGCTGACCAACATTCAGTTGATTCAAATTGGACATACCATACCCCAGAAACGCGGGTGAACATAATGTTAGATATGGATTATGGTCAATGTTGCCCAATAATCCAGCTATACCAGTTCTAAGTACTAGCAAAACCCCATTTCTATCTATGGCATTTGTTTATCCCATAGAAATAACCAGTTGTAGCAATGGCCATAGGGTACCGAGTTCTCCAGCTCCACCCTCACCAGGCAGGCCTCCTTGACACGCACAGCGCGCTCAGCGCGCTCAGCGCTCAGCCCGTGGTATGGGGAGTTTTGGGTCGTGTGTGACCTCAGGGGAGATCAATCATGGTGATTAATAATGGTGGTTAATAATGGTTAATAATGGTGGTTAATAATGGTTAATAATGGTTAATAATGGTTAATAATTGTTAATAATGGCTAATAGTGGCTAATAGCGATTAATGATGTTTATAACTTGTGATTTCTATGGGTATATATATAATATAATATATATATATATCGCATTTGGGTAAATTCTAACGACCTCACTGTTCTCCCTCACTGGGAATAATGGTTAGTAAGTAAGGGGGATCATCCCCAAGATAGCCGAACTATTCAGGTTTGTGAAATATTATAATATACCCAGATGAATATATAATAATATGGAGGTTTCCATAAATGGGGGTACCCCCGTAGCTGGATGGTTTATAGTGGAAAAGCTATCTATAAATTTATAATGGGATGATTTGGGATTTCAGGAAACCTCTATATCTCATATATATATATATGAAGGGGAGATTTGTGTTTGGACTTTTTGAGACCCAGCTACCTGGAATTTAGACCTGGTTACTTCAAAAATAACATATATATGGACAATAAATATAGCTAGACCCTCCCACTACCCCCCAAAAAACATGGTACAAGTAGTTAAGAGTACCATTCATATATGTACTATGGGGGTACATGGTACGGGAGTCCCTTTGGCATCACTTTTCAAGCCCCCAGTTTTGGGCCCCCACCGGCCATGTTTTGTCACACTATCTTCCAGTTGTGCAGTTTGAGAAAATTGGCATGGAAGCTGTCCAGACGGCATGGCTTCTGCAGCTAGCACGGCTCACAGCTCGTCGCAGAAAACACAATTTGACTATATCTATAGCCATGTCGTCTGCCGCCGCTGGTATGGAAAGGGATGCTGCGGAAGGTGCTGCTGTAGCCCATGTGCCCGGGATGGATGACCGTATAGCTGCTTTGAAAGCTGAAAGGCAGGCCTTGAAACGCCAGCTGCAGCAAACCAGTCGAGAAGTTAAGGCCCAGGCTGGTTCAATTTCATCCTTGTGTGCCATGTTTGTGTTGGTGAAGCTGTATTGACATTCCATCGTGCCACTTGCACCTTCATCTTTCCCATCTCAGGTTTTTTTGGTGAAGCTGCATTGCACCTGCATCGCACCACTTGTACTTTCAATCTTTTTGTTTCAGCTCTGCGCCAGGAGAAAAAACGACGCAGAGTCTTGAAATCGGCGGGCAAACTGAGCACCCAAGACCTCTCGTGGCTCCTGGCCTTCAAAATGACCCGTCAGCAGTAGCAGCTTCTTCAAAACTATATGTCTCACCGAAGCACTTGTGACTGCTGTCTCCCGAGGAGTCAGCAGCAGCTTCCTCAAAACTATATGTTTCACTGAAGCGCTTGAGACTGCTGTCTCTAAAGGAGTCAGACAGGAATGTGGTGAAGTCACACGCGGCAGGTTACCTAACGACTGCTGTCTCCCAAGGCATCAAAAACACGTTTTTGCGTGCTTTGGCACCTGTTTTTGCTGCGGCCCCAAAAAACTACTAAGGATACTTCCAACCATTTTCGCAGACTTTGTATTGGCACGGCAGAGTCACAGCTCATGCACGCATGAAAAACTACTAACCCGTGAAATTGAAATCACAATGGCTTGGACGCAAAACTACTAAGGATTTCTGCCAATTGAAAAGAAATAGAAGAAAGTGTTTCCTTTTTTGTCCATTGAACAATTCCTTAGTAGTTTTGCCACCGAGCCAATACAAAGTTTGAAATTCCCCTTAGTAGTTTTCACACAGAAGCATAGTAGTTTTGCGGCAGAGCCAATATAAAGTTGTGACATCGTGCTTAGTAGCTTCACACGGAAGCATGCTAGTGTTGCAGTGGAGCCAATGCAAAGATTGACATCGCCATTGATCAGCTTGTTAGTGACATCGCCAACGGCCAGTGAAGCATTTCATCTTGCAGCTGTGATGTGCCACCTGGAGTGACGGCACATGTGTTTCTTCCTAATTCAAAGGGCCTTTCCGGCCACATGTTGGCCCCCCCCTGCACCCCCCGGAATCAAGGTTGACGAAAATGTCTTGCTGTGAAGACCTGACGCTTTGGAAGATGGCTGCTGCAGTGATTAACACCAGGAAACAACATTGATCCTGGGGGTGCGGGGGGGGAGCCGCTGCTTTGACCCTATACGTGGGGCCTCATGCTGTGTGTGCAAAAGGTCTGAATTTGGGGTCGCTAACGGACGCTGTTTTCAGCCCTCTTCATTGAGGGCCCTCCTTGTGACAACACAAACCTGCATGATGTGGAGAGATAACCAGCAGTGTTTTTCCATAACAGTGTCATAACACAAACCCACATGATTGGACGGCTCATCATCATTGTTCGGTCTTGCCTGCTCCTCACAGGTCGCCTCTCCTCGATGTTTTTTCCTGGACGCAGCCATATGAATCAAGTCTTGCCGCGCTGACTGCATGCAACAGCAATATAGTTTTTGTTTTTTTGCATGAGCCAGACATGAATTTGTATGCTTTGAAATGCCGAGGCCATGCTTTGGCCGCACTCATTAGGTCATCTTCCTTGCTTCCATTCGAATTCAGCTGTATCAGACAGGATTGGTTTGACATGACACGAATGTTTTCAATGAGTCTGCCGACAGATGGTTTTTCTGCGGTCAGTCATGCAGCGTGGTGTGGCCGAAGGCACATCTGATGCCAGGGTGTCAGACTTGAAGGAAGCCTTGGTGCAGAATGGCAAAGCACTGAAAGCGGCTTATCGGCAGAATGCCAAAAAATGGAAAAGGTTGCACTGTGCCGGCCTTGGAGTGGCAGCCCGCAAAACTGTGGTAGCTGTTTACATGCTGTCGAATTGTAACATGGATTTGACTCTCCGCATGGCTTGTGCTTTGACAACGATATCCTATGGCAGCAATGGGTACCCCACGGCAGCTTTGATCCAAGAGATGTTGCTGACGACGCCGCTGCCAAATTTGACCGCTTTGGATGACACAGCTTCACGCAAAGCGCAAGCCTTCCTGGCCGAAGCAGCCACGGAGCAGTGGGTCTATGACTGCAATACGAATCATGGTCAAGCACCTTCTGCGATGGACACGTTTTTGAAGTGGGAGGAGGCCTTCCATGGCCAGAAGCTGGACATGGGTGTGCCAAACAAACGCATGGTCAATAAGTGGGTGCAGCGCTGGCGGGGCGTCCGCCGGAAGGTGCTGAAGCAAGTTGTTAGCAGAGACCCCGCTGTACTGCGCGACAAGGCGCGGGCCAGCCAACTTACAACATTTTGTCTTCTTTTTTTGGGTTGGGTGGCTCCATTTTTGGGGCCGGAATGTGGCCCCAAAAATGGGTCCCCCTCATGTTTCATGCCTGTATAAGCCTACTTAATCCCGGTTGGGCGGTCCCATTTTTGGGGCCAGAATCTGGAAAAAAAAATAGGCCCCCATTTTCAACCAATTTCTTCCCTCGGAATTATATTTGGGGACCCTATATATAATAAGGCTTTGTCTTTCACTTCCTGCAGCGCTCGAGCAGGTCGGACCATCTGCTATTGCCACAGCAGGTTCGCGGACAGGGAGCTGCTTTTTATAAATCTGGATGAGACTAGCGTCGGCCACACCATGACACCGCCTATTGGATGTGTGGCAAAGCAGGGGGCAAACAGCCGCATGCACAGGTGCTGAAGCAACATGTTCGAGGTGCGTGGACTTATGTCAGCGTGATTTGCAACTGCAAGCACATCCAAGGGAAGTTGCCTCATTTTCTCATTGGCACCCAGGTGAAACCCATGAAGAAGCTCTTGCGCGCCCAGCGCGCTTTGCCACAAACTCGTTTGCGTGTTTTGCGGCAAAAGTCCGCTTGGACCTCTGCTGCCAACAGTGCCCAAATTCTCAAAGAGACCGCAGAAGTGTTGAAAAGTTTTCCGTCAAAACAAGGCGTTGTACTCCTTGATTGTGCGCCGGCACACCTGCCACGGCAGGTCATGGCAATGGCACGCAAGTGCAAGCTGCAGCTTGTATATATCCCAGCACAGACAACGGGTTACCTACAGCCGCTTGATCTGCAAGGCTTCTCCCCTTTTAAACAATATTTGAAAAGGAAGCACCAGGAGTTGCGCTCATATTCAGAGCTTGGTTTAGTGCCTCCTCTGGCCTGGCTATGGCAGTGCATGCAAGCCCCACACGAATTTTGGGCAGCTCGGCAATGGCAGAAAAGTTTCGATGCAGTGGGCTGCAATGGCCCAGGTCAAGTGCACAAAGCGCTTCAACACTTGATGGGTGCAGGGGTGCCTTGGCCTGGGCCTGACAGGCCGACACCCCAGCAGATGCAGTGCGTTTGGCCAGCGCGACGCCAAATGGCGCACGCGTATAAGGCTCTTTTTCTTTGATGCTGCCGCTCCGGGTGGGTCCAAAAGATTTGCAGACGTGGGTGGCACTATAGGACAAAGATTTTTTTCCATAATACTGTACATTTATGGGGCAAAACATTGCAAAACACTATTTTCAAGGGTACTTGGAGGGTTTAGGTAGTTGTTTTACCTGCAAACTATGTGAAGAACCATTGAGAGTTTGTTTTTGCTTGATGATTCTAGTATTGAACAATTGGTGTTTCACCATCAAATAAGTGGGTTCCAAAAGCAGTTTCAAGCATCAATGATATGGTATAGCATATCATTGATATAAATGGTTGATTGTGTTATGCTACCCTTCACATATTGGGAATTATCACAATCGACTATGGCACTATTGGAATCCCTATCAACCATTAAGTATAAAGCGATGACAGGGGATTTTGAACGTTCCATGTTCCATTCCAGAACCAGTTGATGATGCAATTTCAGTGAACTGGAAGCAGGTGGCAATCCGAGCCCAGGTTGGTCTAAAGTGTTAGATGCAATGGGCTCCTCCATCAGGAGCTACACCCAAATGCTTCAGCTGGTTTGAATTGCTTGCCCTGTTCCATCTATGGTCGTTAGATGTCGTTAGAGAGGGGAGTAGAATCCACAGCAGCTCATGGTACCTGGCGCCTTCATCCCAAACTCCAAGAGTACGACGCCAAGAAATCATGCCATTCTTGGAGCGCCTACCTCACGCAGTTAGTGCGGCTGCTGCACCCAGCATGGAAGCCCACTAACAGCCGCCCTGCCAACGGGCGTTTTCAGTGCTGGTCCATGGCAGTGTACTGCGTCATTACAGAGCAGGCCGAGCAGCTCCTCCACGAATGGTTCAGGCTGCAATGCAAGGATCAGCGCATTACAAAGATCCCCCAACTTTATGCACAGCCGCCGGCATAACTAGAGCAGCCCGTGCCTGACGAAACACCCGTCGGGCACGGTTTGCATAGATTTCGGCTGCATAGATTTTGGCATATGATATGATATGATATTAAATTATATTATAATAAAAATGTTATATTATATTATATTATATTGTAATATATTAAATTATATTATGTTATGTTATATTTTAATAAAACATATTATATGATATTATAGTTTGTTAAACATTATTATATTATATTATATTATATTCTCATAAAATTTATTATTGTTATATATTATATTGTATTATATGTGATTTGTTAAAATTTACTATATGATATTATGTTATATTGTTTTTTCTTAATATTACATCATGTTTTTTTTTAAATGATTTTGTTTATAGTTTATTATAGTTTATTTTATTATATTATATTATGTTTTATGTTAATATGTTCTTTTATATTATATTATATGTCTATATTGTTCGATGAATTTGTACATTATAGATATTCTAGATATGATATATATATATATATATTCAGCCATCGTTTCACCTGAGTTTCTTGAACTTTCGCCCCACCCAGGGCGTCCATCCAGAATGGCCCGGGCGGCCAGGGACCTTGATGCCGCGATTTTTCGATTGGAATCAACTGGTTATTTCTATGGGAAATAATAACTATGGGGTGACTTTGTGCGGAGGGCGGAGCTGGAGAGCTCGGTATGAGTCAAAAATGCCAGCCAAAATGGTAAACTAAGTTATGGCCATTGCTACTAGTTATAAGTGGTTAAAATAGAACCAACATATGTTTTAGGGTTATAATATCCATAGAACCGAAATAGTTGTTCTATATTTTCTATGGGTTGACTTCGTAAATGGGGCAATAGTCACTACTTATTTCGATTTATAACTATTAAAACATGCCACAAATGGGATTTTGTTAGTACTTATAACTGGTATAACTGGATTATTGGGCAATATTAACCATATATAACCCACATTTAACATTATTTCACCCATGTTTCTGGGGTATGTCCAATTTGAATCAACTGAATGTTGGACAGCAACATTGGAATGCAATGGGTACAACATGGGGCCCCCCAGTGATGTGAATGTTGGTTTATAAACCCGATTAACTATAGTTATAAGTATCATAAACCATAGTTATTGGAACTATTTGCACCAACTTAGCTATCTAGGGGGCCCCACATTGTGATGGAATCCACCATTCATTGGTGTTATATGATGATTATGGCTATTGCTAGCATCAAAACTCGGCAGAAAGTCGGAGAGTCGGACCACAGATGACATGCTTATTCTTGCATAAACCAACACATTGGCCCAGTCTCGATCTACCCTCTGGTAAATTAACATAACTATGGAAAATCACCATTTTTCATGGGAAAATCCACTATAAATGGCCATTTTCAATAGCTACGTTAAATTACCAGAGGGTATGTTGTACTTGTCCTGGATCCGTACTGTTGTATTATATACATTTGATACATTTCCTGGTGAACTTTGGCTGGCTACTTTGGTATACTGCAAAACCTTCATCGATGGAATTTCATGCTCCAGTAAAGATGAATTTTGGGCCGTGTATATGGCATGATTCTATTATCCAAATTTGACCCATGCCTCATGCCTTTCTGAATCACGGATTACAGTTGTATACACATACAACATGATATGTATATATATATACACAATCCATAAATGAGGATACATTTACAATCATTTACATGTTTAGATAAATACATGTACTACTGATCAGCATTCTCCGCGTTTCGGGGGTTTCCCCCCTTTGACATGGGCGAATCATTCGCAGGTGGTTTCTTAGGAGCCATGGGTGATGTGGAGCCCGGCATGAGTTGGGGGACTGGGAGAAAACCAAACGGGAAACCATGGGGGTTCTGTTTGTTTACCCTAGGTTCTCCCCGATTTTTTTTTGGCATTTCACAGCATTGTGGAATATGTTTCCGGTGGAAATTTGCAAGTTCTGTTGCGATCTTGCATAAAATAGTTCATAAATAGATCATATTAAGATCATATCACATTATATTTATGATCATATTACAATATTATATATATATATATATTCCATGGTCCATATATCATCATATATCTATATATTCTCTGTATATACATGGATATATGTATATATATATACATAAGTCTCCAGTGTGGCAGATGAAGTTCGAACGTTTCATCCCCGCCAGATCGCCTTCGGTGGGGAAAACGTGCAAGAGGTTTCTGCCCCACTGGCGAGGAGGAAGCAGCAAATGCGAGAAAATTCAACAGAAACTGCCAGGATGGGGCCCCCAAGATAGCGTTCAGTTGGTTTATAAGTGGCTGAATTCTATGGTTTATGGTAGATATAACGAACTACTTAATGGGGATTATAATGGTTTATAAACCAACTAACATCACTGGGGGGCCCCATCCTGGATGTTCATGGGATTTTGAGGGATTTTATGGAACTTGAACGGGATTTCATGGAACTTGAACGGGATGCTCATGGGATTTCAGCAGATTTACCGGGATGTTTTAACAGTTATAACTGGCTGATAAACATGGTGTTTTGGGAATGGTTTTACGAAATTGGTTTTACCATATGGGATTTGGGCAACGGTGATTTCACCATGGGCAACGGATGCCCGAGAAGTGGCTCAATAGAGATATTGTTTTTCATGTCTGTAATTATTTTCCTGAAGATATCCTCCAGAAGCCTGGCAAACTTCGGGGGATGAAGCGTGATGAACTGCCACACATCCCAGCTATTTTGAAACGGGACTCCCAGGGTGCTAACGACCTGACGGCGGAGCGTAGCTAGATTGCCTCATTTTCGGACATGTTGGTTAGAATCCAATTTTTAGTGCAACACATCCCAATGTATTGACATAATCCAGTTATTCATATCTCAATAATTACTGATCATAACATATCATAACAATAATATCCATAATGTGGTAAACCCAAAAACAAATCATCCCCAATTTTACCAGAAATGGTTGGTATGAGCGATGCCCAACTGGGAGGTGCAAATGGCATTGGGAACGGTTCATACTCCCATCCAGAAGTTCGCTGTAGTTTGCGCACATCTTTGCCGGCTTCTAAATTCATTGTGTATAGATGTCAAATGATGTCAACATGTCCAGTAAAATCGATATTTTTTTGCAAATCAATTTATTTAATAATAGTAATTCCCGAAAAGATAGAACAAATTGAATTGACCCCGATTTTTGGATCGAATTTACTGTTCGAGCCTTTTTTGGACGGGGGTCTACAATCTGGGGCCGCCAGATAGCTAAGCTGGTTTCTAACCTGGCTATAGCATGCTATAGCTATGTTTCATTAGAGCTTATACAATAAGCATAACTTGGTGGGGCACCTTTTCATATTTGCTCATATCATGTCCCACTGTAATCCCACTAAATCACCATATGTGATGGTTAAGATCCCATTAAATCACCATACGTTTCATGGTTAAAATCCCATTCAAAGTCCTCTTTCTCAATGTCGAATCCCATCAGAATATTATAATCCCCTATTTCCAATGGTCAGACCCCAATTAAATCCCACATATGTTACAATGTGGGGCCCCCAGTGATGTAAGTTGGTTTATACACTTCAATATATAGTTACTCTTTGCGTATCATAAACCATAGTTATTAGAATGAGTTGCACTAACTTAGCTATCATCAATCAGCTACAAATCCCCAAAAAAATCTCACATTGACACGGCACCCCAGCGCCTACACGGCGCCCAGTGCGCCCCTTGGCGCCCAGTGCGCCCCTTGGCCGTGTCAGGAGTGTTGACGGCCGAAAGCCAACAGGCGTGGTCAGCCCGAAGGAGCCACATCCGAAGGATTCGCGAAGTTGGTGATTTTACCGATGAATTTCTTGTGGCCCCAAAGTTATTGTTATAACATGTTATAACTATTAAAATATATTAAAGGATATTAAAAGTGTTTTAACTATTTAAGGCCACAAAGATTGGTGTTGTACTGTATTGTAGCTATTAAAGGCCACACAGAGGGTTTTTGTTGTTCTTCAGTTGTGGCCTTTAATAGCTATAACATGGCTTGTAACTGGCTTAGAAAACCTCATTTACTTCACATGATTATATATATGTTTCACCTTATTTGCAGGAGTGATTTCCATATATAACTGTTGAAGGCCATAACTGTGTGGTTTGGTTGAAATGTGGTGCTTAAGATGTTACCAGTTTTCACTAGCTAAGTTTGCTGCGGTTTATGCGGGTCGTATAACTATAGTTAGATGATGTTTGGTTTTTTTGAGGCAATTTATGTCAAGGGGGCACCGCCGAATGTAGGTTTTCAATTTTTCAGTAGATGAGATCTATACCTGTATCTGTATCTGGGTTGTTCGAATCTGTTTTTCACAAAAAGGCCAGAGACGGAATAATTCGAAACACATTTGTTTAGGACAAGCTGGGTATATGAAACAATCCCATTTGTTTAGGCCAAGAGTCTCTATTGTCGACCCCGGATTGATAACCCTGGGGTTGTTTAATGGGGTACCATTTTAGTACGAATCACTAGCCCCCGAATCAATTAACCAGGTTTATTATTCCGGGGTTGACACTATATGTTTTACAATCATCCTGGAGAATATGAACATGTCAAAAAAAATGCAATTGGAATATCGGAATGGTCCGTGAAGATTCTATCTACTTCAGGATTATTATCTGGTTGGTGGTTTGGAACATGGCTTTTATTTTTCCATGCAGTTGGGAATTTCATCATCCCAACTGACAAAGTCATATTTTTCAGAGGGGTAGGTACCACCAACCAGATTATTTATGTTCCATAATATATGGGATAATCCTTCCCATTGACTAATATTTTTCAAGATTGTCAATATCACGTCAACATCTTATCGTTTAAACCTTCACACAGCTGCAATATCCGCAGTGGATCACATCGGTCTGACAGACTGACCCGTTCAAGAATTCACCGCTTTTGGTTGGATCTTGTTTTGAATCCGGGGAACATTCAACAATGAATCAACAATGACACCCGGCAAATGCAAAACAAGTTTGTTTTTTTTTCGTGGGATAGTTCCTGGGATTTCCTCGGATGTTTTTTTCGGATTTCGGGAGGTTTTTTTTTTAATGCTGTAGACAGTCGAAAATTCCGGATGATCAATGGCCATGCTGGCCAGGAACCGCTTGAGGACGGAGGTACCAATCCCATATATTTTTGGCCTATGTTTCAGGGCTATTTTTCAGGGGATATACCCCCCATGTCCGGATGATGGCAGGACATTCCTGAAGAAGAGACGGTCCAGGAGGCTCCGGTCAAGGCGGTCCAACTCTTCAGCATTTGGTTGGGGCTATCATGGAGGGCCCGGTTATAGTAGGTTACTTTATTAACGTGTTCTAGTGAAATAACCCCATTTTTCTGATCATAGAAATGGAATTTTATTAGCCCCCAAGCGAAAATCAATGAACATCATATGATTCATAACCATAACATAACCATAACCACTTAAAAGTCATTGGTATTTCGGGCCATGGATCCTGTACCACAGTCACATGGTGAATCTACGGTTGATGGTGCCATGGCGGCCAGGATTTACCTCCAAGATTCAGTCGAAGGTCGACTGGCTGGGTGGGGTGAGCGCGAGCGCCGCGAGGTGCTGAATTCGACGATTCACGTTGCGAGAATTATACGTGGGGCTTGGTTTAGATTCACCCCATGAATACCATAGTTAGTGGATGTTAGTGGCGTAAATATATTATATATTATCATATAAACTATAAACCATAGTATATAGTGGACATTGGAGTTAAACTTGAACTTAGATATCGTTTGGGGGGCCCACATTGTATCATCTTGGACCCAAAGACAACACTTCACGAGCTATCTTGTTCACAGTGCTAATTGATATATAGAGTGAGAGCCAACGAGACTATATTCATGATGAATGATATCTGAAAGCTGCAAGAATGGCATTTTCAGGAGCCAAACCCCACAATGACCCCGTGATCGCGACAGTAGTTAGGCTGCCCAGGGGCTTCAGTCCCTGGCGCGAAGTCTTTTTGACTCACTTTTTGCTCAGAGATTCGGCAAATTTTGGAGAAATTGGTCAAGACAACCAGCCCCACCCCAAGAATGGATTTTTTCCGCCTTTGACTTTAATGCCGTGTGACAGCGGTAGAGACAACCAGCTACGCGTGAAGTCCCCACCAATGATTGTGATCATTTTAAATGGATGGTTTGCGGAAACCCCAAACAAGATATTGGAAAGTAAATTATCACCACTTTAGTAAAGGATTTACCACATTCTATCTTTGGCAGTGCTATGACGACCAAGTTTCTGTCCATTTTTGAGTACCAACATTCAACTAATCATCCAACCCCTATCTGGAAGGGTCTATGTTAATTTACTGGATGCTACGGGATATCCCCAGTGAATCCCAGTTCTACATGAGTTGCCGGAACCGCTCCGAACCTTTTTGCGGCGGCAAACAGCGCCGCTGTGTGCGTTCTCCACTCAAAAGAGTCGCGTTGGGATCAGAGAAATATTAGGGTTAGAGACCCTCTGGTGTCATCAAACGTGGTTTGCTGGAAAATGCCTCAAACTATTGATGATTTTCCCATTGAACCATTGTTTTAAAGGGATTTCACATTGCTAAGTTTGAGTACCAAAGAGATAAATATTGCAAATATACATAATAATATGATGTAATTGGATGTAATTGGAAATCGGAAAACACATTTCAAGCATGCAAATGGGAATGATATATATATATATAACTTGAAAACACATGGGAAGATGACGCGTTTTGTGATGGTGAAACTGTCGGAGGTCCTTGGTTTTTCGATCAAATGCCCGGACGTTTGAAGATGTTTGATTTGGTTGTGGATTATTTCTATAGAAAAATAAGATGATTTACATTAATATCTTACATACATGTTATATAGAAATGTACTATATTTATTTTATAGATAGTTTGATCAGTTTGATCTTTATGTAGGTCGATACCTAGATTTGTGGCAGAGCCGCAGCCGATCGGCTCCAGCGCCTAAGTCCTTCCGTTTCGAGTTGACGAGTCGGGTCCCGGATTCCGAAACGTTGCATCCATGGCGTCCGTGGACGTCTTCGATGTTGAAACCAAAGAGGCATCTGGGGATGGGTCAAAACCCTGGTACCTAGTGAACCCCAAAATAGCTGGTAAATGGATGTTCATCCCACTAAAATGGATCTATAGGTATTGACCCATACCGATCTTGCGGATTGAAACCAACAAGTCTGGCCCAAGACAAGGGCCATTGCCCTCTGGTAATTTGCTACATAGCTACCGTGTAGATGATAAAAATGATGTTTTTTACGTATTAGAAATTGTGATTTTCAAGCTGGCTAAGTTAAATAACCAGAGGATGACGGCGAATAATGAGCCAACACAGATGGCAAAACTTAGTAGGGATTCAACAAAAAAGGGGGATTGACCAATCGAATCCAATAGATATGCAGGCGGACATGGCGTGGGTTTGCCAGAAAATAGTGCATTTTGCATATATATCCCCAAATTTGATGGGTCATCATGTTCCGCATTAAGATAGCCAATTGGGGGAAAAAACACATGATGTACACCTCATATTTTCAGACACACCAAATAGAGATTGCCATGGTCAAGCAAAAATTAATCTTCCAAATCAGTTTAGGCCGGGATGATCCCGGAGACCCAAGCCATTTTATTAGCAGATGTTAGCAGGTCAGCTGGAACACCCGCAAGGGCCACAGAAACTTGGCGGATGGCTGCCGGCCAGCGGCTTCTCCCGGGTGGTTGTTCAGAAAAGTGCTTGGAGGTGTGATGCAAATCTTCGGGGTTCCTTAGGGTTTCCTTCAGATGTTCAGCTACCCAAGCAGTACTACAACGTAGTGCCCCCAGGTCATAGAGTGGTTAACCATTTTCACACCCATAAATCCCAGATCAACTTATGCCAACTAGCCACCCTTGCCGCGGATGTTTCAAACCGCCCTTTCCCCGGGCACCAAAAACGACACCTTTCGGCACCTTTCCCACTAAGGACACCTGCTGTTGGGAAGTGGCAAGGGTCGTTCCAGCTTCTCTCATTCGGTCAGCTCCAAGTGGTTGCGACGACAGCAGCCTCGGCCCGAAACGCTGACCATGGAGCTTCAAGGACTGTGAGATGCCGGGGGATGCCAAGGAGATCTGTGTATATCTTATATCTGGTTGGTGGTTTGGAACATTTGTTATTTTTCCATATATTGGGAATAATGATCCCAACTGATTAATATGTTTCAGAGGGGTTGAAACCACCAACCAGGTGTAGTATGTTATAGGTACTGATTCTAATTGAGTATGAAAGTATAACTTAACTAAACACATATATGTAGTCTGCATATGAGTACATGTATGATGACACATTCATGTTTGATGCGTAAGGAAGAAGCCATACATCATATATGTGTATTATTAAAATATATTAAAATACGATATTTGTCGATCCTTTTCGTATGGAACATTTATCTCAAAAACAGCTACGGGCGATTCTGTTTGAGAAACATCCCACCAGGATACGCTTGGTATATGAGTATAGTTCGTGTACACATGACTCACACGACCGTTTCTATCAACCTTTTCCGGTAGGCAAGATCCATTTATCATTCACCACCTGCACAGAATTTGCTGGAGCCCTTGGACCCCGGTCGTTCTGTGTCTCCAACGGTGGAAGACAGCCATATCGGCTATTGTCACAACAGTCATTTTTGTTTAATTACCATATGACTGGGGGAATAACCATCCAATAACCAGCTATTTCTTCGGGTACCATCCGGGCACCAGGGTTTTGACGTTTTGACCCATAACCATATGTTAATTGGTAAACATGTGGTAAATCAGCTAGACTTTTCTGACAAAAATATATCTGAAATCTGAAACTTTCCTACAGTTAAGGCCCGAAATACCAGTTATTTTGATGATTCTATTAAACCATGGGGTCACCATTAAACCATACATGGGATTAATTCACTGACTTATAACTTGGGGCCACAACTGTAGGAACTTGTGGTAGCCAAAGTTACTTACCACATCTAGGGGTCCAGATTCGCTGCCGAGCCTGTTGGTGCGTAGGCTCTTCTGAGAGCAAAGGAAGAAAGCAGGCGATGCCTCGGCGATATGCAGAGGACTCATTCGGGTTTTCGATGTGGTTCAGAATGGTTCACATTTGGTGACCAGTTTTTGCCTAAACCTCTGATATTTCAATGTCATGTCATATTGTCATGTCCTGTTTATGCCAAAAAAATGGTGATTTTAAGCATGGAGATGGAATATAATTTGGATAGAATTGGGAGAATGATAGTCTATACCCTCTGGTAGTTTGCCACATGGCTTTATAGATAGTCCATTTATAGATGATTTACCTTTTGAAAATGGTGATGTTCCATAGCCTAAGTTTTGATGGTCTACAAAAACTCCCATGCACAGGAGTTATATCTTCCAACTGAGCTAACTAAGGCTTACAAGGCCCCACCTTGTAGGGTGTTAGTCTAGGTCCGTGATGGTATATTGATGATATGGATTGATATGGTGGTTAAGACTTGAGGGGATCTACTTTTCGAATTGTCATCAAACATGGCAACCAAACTCATGGGATGTGTATGAAAACACCGGGAAAATCATCCAACTTTCGGGATTCTGCTGGGAGTTTTTCCAGCAAACCATGTTTGATACTGGGTAGCAAAAAGAGGGGCATGCATCACCCGGGCGGAAGTACTTGTAGATCTTGTAGAGGGATTCTGTCCATCAGTCAGAGCCTCTCTCTATGGTCCATGGCAAGAATTGTCTGAACCGTGCGCAAAAACCCCTGTTTAAATTTTAAATAACCTGGCCTACTGACGGTTTAACATAGTTGAACCAATCTCCCACCAACATGTAGTTTGTGTGAAAATACGGTACCCCCAAAATTTCCGATGTTCTTTATCTTCTTTTTTCCGCAGTAAATTGTCACGACAAAGCCAAATCCATGATTCATTGCAATCCTTAGTTTCTGATAATTACATACCGAGTGTGGTATCCAATTGTTGATGGTTAAATCACTTATTATCTCCATCATATTCCCATCATTCATTGTATTCCCATCATATTCCCATCATATTCCCATCATATTCCCATCATATTCCCATCATATTCCCATCATATTCCCATCATATTCCCATCATTCTTCATAAATTCATAAGTAAATCATGCGTCAAATCCCGTTGGTTAACTTTTTCACCCGTTTTCTCGCTTCTCGAAGCGCAGGAATCCGAGCACTGCATGGTGAAGAGCGCACGAGAAGCTCTGGAGTGGCAGAGCCACGAGAGTTGCGAACTTTGGTGGTGGCACTTCGGAAACTGGGCAGCTGGTGACCAAAATTTGGTTTTGGGGGTTGGAATATGTTGGAATCCTTGAGAATTGAAGTTGCGATTTCAATAGGCCAGCAATGTTTCGTGTTTTGCAGGCTATCTAAGCTTGGCAACGATAGTTGAGTGAAGTTGGTAAGATCCGATTTATAGACTTTCTATATCTTTCTATAATATGGTTTGGGGATTACGACATATTAATGTGCCATGGTTCATGGTCCATGGTCCATGGTGGGATTGGTGGATTATGATATGGATTATGCTCATCCATCATCATCCATCCCCTAAAGGAATTCCTTATAGCTTTGAACATGGCACATATGCTCATCAACTTCGGACCATGAACAATACACATGTTTGTATGTTATGGTATATATATATATATACATACAATGATTACATGTGTATACATGTGTATTGTTCATTTTAACTTAAGTCTTAAGTTGGATATGTATGTATGTAATCCATATCATGTGTATATGGTTTTGGCCCACTTTGCATATTGCCAAGCGACTTCTCAATAGAATGTTTTTATTAAATCATCCTCGCATCGTTGCCTAGAGAAGCCTGCCCTGTGAGATGGTTTTGTCTGACAACACCCCTTTCCATCTACTGGTTAATCATCAATGTGTTTTATTAAAATGGCAATTTGAAGGTATACCGGTATACCCCTTAAAACCTTAGTGTGGATCTACATTGTGGGTGGTATAATGACATATTATATACCCCATTCATATGGTATTAAACTGTAACTGATTGGGGAATCGTGGCTGGTCCAACCTTGTGCGTATTCGCACTTCGCACTTCCTCACGGGTGGTTTGCTCAAGCACTGACAATTCCTAGGTAGACACAGCTCAAGATTACACTTCGTATCACTTAGTGATATTGGATCCCGTTCCCCTAATATTAAACACCCCCTCAGAAACCATGGTTTAGTAGGGAATTTCCACATGTTTGGGACCATTTGGGGGGTGTTTAATATTTAGGGGGATGAGATGAGTCATAATTCGCTATTGAACTTGAACATGATCCGCAATATGTACGGATACACATTATATACACTCATACAGTAATCATATACAGATACAATTACATTTTGGTAAACGTTTACATAACTATGGAAACTCACCATTTTTAATGGGTAAATCAACTATTTCAATGGCAATTTTCAATAGCTTTTTGTATGTTTACCAGTTTGTATACACATTGTGTAGACATGATCCCGGAAACTCCCAAATGAATCGATTTTTGACTCCTGGGGGAAAATCGTGGTTTAGTACTACTTGCTGGTTTCATCCTACTTTCATTTTTTTGTAAGTGGTGAACCACCCAGTTACTTAAGTTGATCTTATCTTTTCTTATAGCCAGGGATATAAGCTAGTTACGATTCGTGGGATGAGCCACCAAGTAGTCACTCGACTTTCAGTGATACCTTCAGTTTGAGGAGATGATTCCGACGATGATGATGATGATGATTTGGACGTTGAGATTGCCTGGAAGAGGTGGATCTGGATGGTGGAATGGATTTTTTCACAGCCTGGTGGCTGACAAGATATGATGATATATGATGCTTGATGTTGAGGACAGATGGGGAAACCCTTTAATTTAAATAATAGCGAACAACAACCATAAAATCATCCATGTTTGATGGATTTTACCTGGATTTGGATAGATTTGGAACTCACTAGAGCGGTGATGAGGAGCAGAGACATTCGCCAAGACTGATTTGATTTCCTCCTTAACATGGCTGGTGTTAACTGCAGAGGGCTGAGAACAAATGCAAAAGTGTGAAGAAAAGATATTGATGAATAGTTTGTTGTGGGTTGTTCAAAGATATAGATGGTGCGACACTGGCATTAACATGGATTGACCTTGAAATGGTGGTAAACCCAACAAAAACATACAAAAAACAAGCCCCAAAGACTGAAATGGATCGAAATGAGCTGGAAAAAAAACGCAAGACTCAGCTATGTTTTGGGTGATCCTTGAGGAATAATTTGCTGCACTGCCGAAACATAATTATGGGTTCAGCTGTTTTGATGGTATTCCATTTAGGTTGTGAACGACATCCTGAACGACATCTGAAACGACATTTAAATGGTGTATAATTATATGTATATTATAACATGATATAACATATATATATATATATCATATATATAGTTATACATAATACATACATACAATGTATATATATATATGTATATATGTACAAGAGTTCATGATTATATTTATATATCGTCTATTGATATATGCACAATGTATGTGAGTATGTGTGTCATCCAGTGTCCATCCTCTCGCGCAAAATTTTAGGATTCAGGATCCTAAAATGAAGGTACTGTAGCCCTTAGGCCTAAAATGCCATATATGGTAACACCGATTTAGGTACTTGAAAGGCAAGTCTCGCTAAAAAGTAGATGGCTTAGGCAAGTCTCGCTAAAAAGTACATGCAAGGTACAGGAGATTGGCGAAAAAGTGGGCTATTTTCGTCAAAACCCTGGTACTGGTACCTTAAGGCCCTAGGTTCCCTAAGTCATACCCTCTGGTAAACTAACATAACTATGGAAAATCACAATTTTTAATGGGACAACTCACTATAAATGGCAATTTTCAATAGCTATGTAACAAATTACCAGAGAGTAGCTGGTTTATCGATGTTTATTCCCCCAGTCATATGATCACCTCACGTGTTTGATCCATCACCAACTAGCCATGGCATGAATTCTCCAGTGGGAGATCTATCGGTTTCGCCCCTTTCTTCGTGGATTATCTACTTTATAAATGATAACATGGCTTAAACACTATAGACTATAGTCGTGAACCACAAACATGATCCGTGGCTTGATCCTCCAACGGTTTTCATGATTAGTGATATGTCCTATTATATCATATTATATTCTATAAATATATATATATATATGTATCCAGACATACATATACGTATATGTATATATATATATATGATATGATATGATATGATATGATATGATATGATATGATATGATATACATACATACTTTATATCCCCATTGAACATCCCCAGTGAAGATTTGCATATCTCCCAGCGACAAGTCTCCAGGCAGTTCACCGCTGGAAGCAGCGCTTCCACGGCCTCCTCTTCGGCCTCGGCGAACGCGTCGAACGCGTCGAAAGCGGCGCGCTGGGAGAAAGCCCAGGCGTTGGCGGAGGACGTGGCGCAGAAGTTGAGGCCCTTGAAATCGGGAAATGATGGGATTTTGTTGGTCAAAATCAAAAGCCATGGAAAAACCACCTAGGGTAGGGGAGGATCATATAGTTTAAGTGGGAATATCATATATAACTGATTATAGTCTATGTTTTTTTTTCAGAAGGAGATCACCGATTTTCATGGTGAATCCCAAAAGAAATCCAGATATGAAACCATGGTGAAACCTATGGGATAATTGGGACTTCACCAACTATGGCTGAAAATCCCTAAAGATTGGTATAGCTACCCTCTGGTAATTTAACATAGCTATGGAAAATTGTCATGTATAGTCAATCTACATGGTAAAAATTGTGAGTTTCCATAGTTATGTTAGTTTACCAGAGGGTATGGCCATTTTTATAGGATTATCTTCACTACTATCCTCTGGTAAACTAACATAACTATTGAAAAACACCACTTTTGATAGGTGAAACAACTATAACTGGGACATTTTCCATAGCTATGTTAGTTTACAGGAAGGTATTCACTATTCTATCTCATGCTATGTGGTGGTTTCACAATGTGTTTGAATGAATCAATGATCATGTATATATGTCCATCTCTGCTGAAACGGGATTATCAACAAAGATAAGCTTGGAGCAAACTAAGAAGAATATGAGGGATTCCTGAAATGGGGTACTGCAAAATGGATGGTTTATAATGGAAAATACATGAACATAACATGAAAATGGATGATTTGGGGAGTACCCCTATTTTAGGACACCCCGACATGGAAAATCAATTATTTTTTTAGATAGTTGTCCTCGGGTAACCATTAGTTGTCCATGTCCATGTAACGGTTTGTCACAAGGTGTAGCAACCACTAAAGATAATATCCACTAATATCCATTAAATATCCATTAATATCCATTAATATCCGTTAATATCCGTTAATATATCCATTAATATCCGTTAATATCCGTTAATATCCATTAATATCCATTACATTATAAAATTGAGTTGCCCTTGAACGCGCCCTTACTCAGGATGACTATGCCGTGCGTGCCGCAGTCTCAGAGCGTCTCAGACCTGCCATGGCAACCATGATGGCCTCATCTCAGCGGCCAGCAATTTCCCAGCAGTTCCACAAAGACATGGATCTTCCCCAATGGTCTAGAAATATACCCTCTGGTAATTTAACGTAGCTATTGAAAATGACAATTTTTTCATGGGAAAATCCACTATATATGGTCATTTTCAATAGCTATGTAACAAATTACCAGAGGGTAATGTGGTGGATGTTCAATCGTGTTTATGGTATCAATGTTTATACATATATATATATATAATTTTATAATATCATAATATAATATGGCTGTTGCCATCTAACAAGGAATGTCCTCAATTTCAGCAACCCACATGGAGAAACTCGTATGGATTCATGTTTCGCAGGTGTGATATATCCAAACATTTGTTTGTGTGTATTTACATGCCTATATATGATTATATATGTACAGTATATGTATATTGGATACATTATGACCTCACATCGTGACGTCCCTGGAATGATGGGAATTTGATTCGTGGAATCTGGCCGTATGATAACAGTTATTCTCAGGTTAGTGAATTACTTTAATTCAGCCATATAATATACATCTATAATTGCAATGTATATATATATATATATATATGTTTATTATATATATATGTATATTTACATATGTATATATATATGTTATATATGTATATATACATATATCCATATATTTTATTTACATTTATTTACACATGTATATATATGTATATATAGCTTCGTCCCCGCTTCTGGAACTGCGGACCACCTGAATTAGGTTGGGAAAACTTGTCCATTCCGGGACGAAATTTCGTCCCGGAATTTACAAGTTTCATTTGGGTCATTTTCATCATCATCATCCTCATCATCATCAACATCATCATCAGCATCATCGTCATCATCATCATCATCATCATCACATCATCATCATCATCATCATCAGCATCACATCATCATCATCATCATCATCATCATCATCATCATAATCATCAGCATCAGCATCATCATCATCATCATCATCATCATCATCATCATCATCATCATCATCATCATCATCATCATCATCCATCATCATCATCATCATCATCATCCTCGTCCCCGCTTCTGGAACCGCGCAAACCTGAATTAGGTTGGTAAAACTTGTCCCGTTCACATGAACGTTAACATCCTGCCGCAAGTTCACATGAACGTTAACATCCCACCCCACCCCCCACCCCACCCCGCGTGTGCGTAGCATCAACTGCTGCCGCAAGTTCACATGAACGTTAACATCCCACCCCACCCCACCCCACCCCCCACCCCGCGTGTGCGTAACTGCTGCCGCAGTTCCAGAAGCCAGGACAAGCCTATATATACATCCCAAGCAACTTTCTAAGGGGTTACTGTACCAGTTACAAAGAAGTCTCAGGCTCCCAAGCGCCCCAAGCGTCGAGAAGGAACCGGAGATTCCAGAGGTGGAAGAGTACGAGGAGGTTTCTCGGCCTTGGGGCTGTGGGTAGAACTTGGATTCCTTCGATGGGAGGATTTAACAAAAGCAACCCAGCAGGAATTAGGATATTCTCCATTAATGACGCATGGCTAGCTGGAGAATCCCTAAACATGTAGGTTTATAGCTGGGAAGAACATTTAGAAATAGGGGCATTTTCCAGCAAATCATGCTTGTTTGATTACCAGAGGGTATGAATGGCCACAATATGGTGATCCAACTGGTGAGTTGGGTAGTTTAGTGTTTTCACCGTTTTTGCAACAAATAGGCACTGTACTAAGTATTGGTTTATATCGGCGGGCAGAGTATTTCATTACTCTATCAAACCCAGTTAAAAAATACAAATAACAAAACACATGTTTGAACATGCCCAGTTGGAGTGATTACCACCTTCCGAAAGTTCTGGCACATTGTTGCCATATGTATTGCCATATATTCCAACATGTTTTGAGGTATATTCTGATGTAGATTCTTCCAGGAATTGCATCTGGATGATAATGGAGCTATTGGAATATCTTACATCCCGAAATCTACCTGCAATGATGATCATAGTTGATGGCCATGTTGTTGGTGTTCCTGCGGTGTTGGAACATCGTCCTTTTATTGGAGCTGTTGGAATATGTTCCTACAATATTCGATATTATTCATATGTTTCAGGCCTCATGCGGTTGTGTTGTGTCGCAGGTCACCGTGTTATGATATTTCAATTGAGAATGTTATATATGAATATATTTGTACTTTGTGTTTAAACCTATATATATATATGATATATACATGTTATCACAATTATCACATATTAATACAATTGGTTCTATACATTGTGGTTGTGTCCTGCAGGGAGGGCCCTGCCTGTTGCCAGCCCTGAGGTTGAAGGGCCGATTTTTGGACGCAGCAGTAGCAGGGTGAAATTCTTGGGCCATCCCCGAATCACCATTTTGGGTGGTGTTAGCCATCAAACTATGGGTGGTTCATTGTTTTACATTGTTTTACCACATTACATTCATTCGTTATACAGTAAGTTATATATGACTATATATGATGTATACAGTTAAAGAACACACAGCGATTGTATAATTTTATATATAGTAATGTCAACCCCGGATTTATGGTAACCATGGCAACCATGGTTTATTAGGGGGGAGAGGGATCAAAAAAAAAACAAATAGGGATCAAAAAAAAAACAAAATCCAGAAAACATGAGAAAACACAGGGAAACTATCACGAAATAAAGGCAAAAGCCATGGATCAAAAAAAAAACAAAATCAGGAAAGGAAAGAAAGAAAGAAAGAAACAGGGGAAGAAAGAAAGAAAGAAAGAAAGGAAGAAAGAAAGAAAGAAAGAAACAGGGGAAGAAAGAAAGAAAGAAGGAAAGAAAGAAAGAAAGAAACAGGGGAAGAAAGAAAGAAAGAAAGAAAGAAAGAAAAAGAAGAAAGGAAGGAAGGAAGGAAGGAAGAAGGAAGGAAGGAAGGAAGGAAGGAAGAAAGGAATAAAGAAAGAGAGAAGTTAAGGAAGGAAGGAAGAAAGGAAGAAAGAAAGAAAGAACGAAAGAAAAAAAGTAAGAAAGAACGAAAGAAAGAAAGAAATAAAGAAAGAAAGAAAGAAAGAGTGAAGTAAAGAAAGAAACAGGGAAAGCAAGAGAGACATAAAGGAAGGAAGGAAGGAAGGAAGGAAGAAAGGAATAAAGAAAGAGAGAAATTAAGGAAGGAAGGAAGGAAGAAAGGAAGAAAGAAAGAAAGAAAGAGTGACGTAAAGAAAGAAACAGGGAAAGCAAGAAAGAAATAAAGGAAGGAAGGAAGGGAGGAAGAAAGGAAGAAAGAAAGAGAGCAAGTCAGTCAAACTTCTGACTTTTGGGCTTTGACCTGCCTTAGCTTCAGAGTGCGGCCTTTTGGCCTCACTTGTCACCCATGCAAAGTTGGGTGCAAGCTCAAACGTGGCATGCGCCTTGTAAACTCCCGAAAAAATAAGATCACGATGTCCATCTATGATGGGTTGCTGGATTGCTTCTCCGTAGTCGCCTGTTTTTGGCTCCAAATCCCTTTTGCCACTTTGGTCAGCATGAGCCGTAAACAGCAAAGGACCGCGGGACAGTTGGGTCACGGGTTGCAGCATCTGAGTTTTCATAAGCATGTATATACATAGAAATATAGACACACACACACATATATATATATCCATATATATATATATATCCATATATATATAATATATATATATATATATATTTATTTATATATTGATCTATCTATTTTTTATTTATATTTACATGCCAGTATCTACCATGTAAACATATCAGCAGAAACATGAATAATACAGATGTTGCGACATTTGGTTGTTGCCTTGTGGCAGTAAGTGGCATTGGGATATTGCGTGCTCCTCGTGAATCCGTGCGTCGACCGTGCTGCGTAAGGGGAAGCTCTTGCGTGGCCGGTCGTCGCCGGAATCCTTTGTGTGTGTGTGTGTGCTGCGTGTCCGTGCGTCGACCGTGCTGCGGCTGCTGGCGTGGCCGGTCGTCGCCGGAATCCTGTGCTCGATGAAATGTGTATCGGTGCGTCGACCGTGCTGCGTAAGGGGAAGCTCTTGCGTGGCCGGTCGTCGCCGGAATCCTTTGTGTGTGTGTGTGGCTGCATGTCCGTGCGTCGACCGTGCTGCGGCTCTGGCGTGGCCGGTCGTCGCCGGAATCCTGTGCTCGATGAAATGTGTATCGGTGCGTCGACCGTGCTGCGTAAGGGGAAGCTCTTGCGTGGCCGGTCGTCGCCGGAATCCTTTGTGTGTGTGTGTGGCTGCATGTCCGTGCGTCGACCGTGCTGCGGCTCTGGCGTGGCCGGTCGTCGCCGGAATCCTGTGCTCGATGAAATGTGTATCGGTGCGTCGACCGTGCTGCGTAAGGGGAAGCTCTTGCGTGGCCGGTCGTCGCCGGAATCCTGCGCTCGATGACATGTGTGTCCGTGCGTCGACCGTGCTGCGTTAGGGGAGACTCTTGCGTGGCCGGTCGTCGCCGGAATCCTGCGCTCGATGAAATGTGTATCGGTGCGTTGACCGTGCTGCGTAAGGGGAAGCTCTTGCGTGGCCGGTCGTCGCCGGAATCCTGCGCTCGATGACATGTGTGTCCGTGCGTCGACCGTGCTGCGTTAGGGGAGACTCTTGCGTGGCCGGTCGTCGCCGGAATCCTGCGATGTGTTTCCGTGCGTCGACCGTGCTGCGTAAGGGGAAGCTCTTGCGTGGCCGGTCGTCGCCGGAATCCTGTGTGTGTGTGTGTCGGTGTATCCGTGCGTCGACCGTGCTGCGTAAGGGGAAGCTCTTGCGTCGGTGCGTCTGTGCATATTGTGTATATATATATTACATGTATATGCATATATATATATATATTTATTTATTTATTTATGAGATTCCGTCAAAATTTGCGCTGATTAAGTCTTTACTGGAGTGTGCATCGGATGGTGGCCGTCGCATGAAATCTGTTCAAACGAGAGGAAACTCACAAAAAACGATGCTTTTTTTGTTTGCGCATGCTTGCGCGTTTTGGGGTGTGGGCATAATGTTTGCTTAGGCAGGGTTGTTTTGTCACGTTTGGATCCACTTCACCATGAATGGGTGTGCCCATGCGGTGGCTTGACTTTACATGATTTTACAATACTTTAGCCACCTAGGTGGGCTGCTTCAACTCGGCACCGAGTAGCTCAGATTACGGAAACCATGCATCTATTCGCAGGCAGTGTAGGCATGCTGGAGTGGCCAACTCCATGCAGTATCTCGTTTTGCTGCCGGGCCTAGCTTTGGTAGACCGCGGAGAGCTATTCACTCAGTCTCGCATGCATGTGACTTGCAAAGATGGAGCCCGCGCAGAACGATACCCAAAACGATGCCCAAACGATACTAAAATCTTTCCAAAAGCGCCCCGGGTGACCGACTGGTCACAAAACAGAAAACAGGCGGAACAGGTGGTGGATGTTGGTAGTATGTTGTAGTGATGGACTCAAGTTTTATGCCCCGGCCGGATAAATTTTGAGGTGGGCAGCTGTGAGTGGCCAAAGCATGCCAAATTCCAAAAGGCTTGCTGGGTGAATTGACCGCTCAAGCAGCGCGAAGGAGGACCAGACAGGCACGGGCAAAAGCACAAGTGCGCTCCAACGCGCGCAAACAAAGATTGCTAGGTATGAGGACCCAAGTGGACGCGCTTCAAAGCTATGCTTAAACAGAGGTAAATACTGGCCAAAATATGGAAAAACAGGAAGCCTGTAAAACGATAGGGGGCTCACTAACTTGATGGCGCACTTGATGCAAATAAAAAATTCGACCGTGGCTCATATATGTATATGATTGTATATGTATATATATATATGTATGTGTTTTTATTTATATATGCAAATGCACCTGTTTATTTGTATACAAACGGTAGAATATTCGCAGCATATGTCATTTTTCTTTGCAACAAGCAAATCACATTTATTGTCATAACAGAGACGTCCATGCGCATGTGCCTCTCTTCCCAGGAGGGCAAACTGGAAGCGCACGGCTTGAGCAGCCACAGAAGCATATGATTATGGATAGTATCCCAGCCTGCGCATCTGGCAGGCAACTGGCATAGAAGTGAGTTCGCCCGTAAAGGCGTGAGGGCAATAGGCGTTATTTTTGGTTCGCAAATATGATTCAACAATATTCAACATGTGCCGCTCACTTCGCTGCAAAGGCTGCGAAGGTGGAGCCGGAGGCCAAGGCTCCGCCAGCCCGAGGTTTCTAATATGTTTGGGTCTGGGAAATTGGTTTTGCTCAAGTTTGAAAATGCCGTCCGTTCAGTAAAGCGCAAGGTGCTCCGAGAAATCTAAAAAATTAGAATTTTGCAGGAGAGGTAGGTGTCTTGGTCTTCATGACAAAGTTCTGATTAACAGGCTGCCTAATCGTCTTAGCACGTGAATACTTGCGAATTTGATTGGTTAACCGACCAAACGACTAATTGACTGACAGACTGTAGGATTTATGAAATTGACAAATACCGACTGACTGATGCGTTGACGAAGTGAAGACCTGGCTACCTGACTCAATCTGACCATCTGGCTGGGTAACGAACCCTGCTGGACAGCCGGCTTGCCATAATTGAAATTGTAGACTTTTAACTTTCTTTGATAACCTAAGCCTGCTTCACTTAAGGGCTTCGCAGAAACTGCTTGCAGGTGAAGCTGCCACCAATGCCTCCACCACCTCAGCGGCGTTTTCCTCTGCCTCCCCCACCGGGTCCCCCACCGGCTCCGCCCCCGCTGCCGCCTCCCAAGTGGCCCCACCCTTCCGTTCGGTCTGCCCCTTCCAGGCTTGCTTTGTCTAAAACCATGCCGTGGCAATCCATTTTCAAAGCCTTTACTTTCAGAGGCCGCCGCCTCCGCCTTCTGATCTTCCAAGGCTTGGTTGCGGGCCTGCTTTTTCTTTTAACGTATCATTCAAGACTCTGCTCGTCTTTTTTTCATACAAGTGGTTTCCTGTTTTGAACGCTGACATTCAAGATTCAAAATGTATATTGTCGAAGACAAGTTGTTTTGCAGTCTCGAGGGGAATCCTTCTGATTTTTTGTTTTCTCACTAGCCTTACCTCCAAACGTTTGCATGAAAAGGTGCCAGCGCGAGACAGTGACATGTCTTGAAGATGAGGCCCGGTGTTGGCAGAAGTTTCGAAGAGATACACGGCCCGACACTGCACGTGAGAATAGTAAGCGCGTGTACGACTATCTAAGAATCATGAGTCCATCAGCGTTTCTTTTATCCATCGGGGCCCGGGGCCCTGCACAGGTGTCGAAGTTGGAATGGAGAATGCTGCAGATGAAGCAAGAGTGTGGCTGGGAGTTTCGAGAAAGCCGCGCCCCAGTTGCAAGATCTACCATGTTTAGCAGAG